TATATATATTTCTTTATTTAATATTCTCATTTTTCTAACTTTCACCAGTTGACGATTACTCATTTATCAGAATAGTATTATCATATTAGAATAATCTTTTGCTTATAAGATCTGTATCATTATTATCTAATTATAATTATTACGGTAGCTCTCAGCAATCAACATCGATAGTATCATCATCATCATCATCGTGTCGTGTCGTGAAGCTTTCTACTTCTTAACTTATGTGAGCTATGGCCGCTAACCCCGGTCTACGTGTCGGTGCCAGGCAGGAAGCCTTTGTTTCTCTTCAATTTGCTGCTTCGGCTGCTGTTGCCGCTTTTCTAGAGCGCACCCCCTCCTGAATCAGTAGCTCAATAGCTGCGTATAAACAGGCATTTAATAATCCTCCCCTCTGCTTGCAATCAACCGATTGTGTAATGCATCGATAGGGGAGTGGCTCGAACCCTTGCTCATTCGTTCCATTTGTAGCGTTACCGTGCCAACAATCTCTCCTACTGAAGGAGTGAGACTTCTGTGTGATGTTCGAAAATGAACCGCTTCATGGAGATGTAGGTATATTTGACAAATTTGTAGTCTTGTAGTAGTAGTAGTAGTAGCAATTGTGTGTAGTGGTCTATCTGTAATGATATACTGTTCGAGCCAATGTTGCCATTCTATGGGGTGTCGAGTTGTTGCTCATCGAGCGCGTATTCGTGACGCATAAGAGCGTACTTTACAGTTTCGTTGTGTCCATGTTTGTGTGGTCGGTTTGTATGTCAGTTTGTTCGATGTCTGCGATATGGTGGCCTGCTTTGGTGGGCGACTGTTGTTGTTGTTGTTGTTGTTGTGCAGTCGTTGCTGACGATAGAGAGTTGGTAAAGTTGACGAGTGCAGTGGCGGGTTATGACGGGGAGCACCAGAGTTGTCAGAAATCTCAATTTTCTGTGATACATCTGGCGACATCACCGATGCGCCTGGTCCACCGGTCAACTTCTGCACCGAGATGATGATGATGATTTCAGTGAGCGAGCAGACGAGCAGCGAGCCCCCGCTCCACCTGCCGCGGATCGAGGTGACCGCCAATCCTAGCCGCCGATCCGCTCATTGTGACTGTTGTCTTCTGTTGTACTGGCGCCTGTTGTGAAGTGCTTGCGTATACTGTAGCTGTGACACTGGCCATGTACAGTCTTTCGTGGAGGCCACGTAGTGGCTATGTCTATGCGTACGCGTGTTTGTGCGCATGTGTCCATCTGTGAATGTCGGCTCGATATTTCTCTGCTGTGTGCTCTCATTTAGGACCAATAAAAGATAGAATAATTGTTGAACGATAAATTGTGTATCATCGTGTTGTTATTTGCTATCTGGAAGCTCGCTGTGATGTAGTCGTTGTGATAGGCTAGCAGTGTCGAAGCTTCGGAAGTGAAGGGTCGTATGTTGAGTGTTGTCGTCTGTTGTTGATGCGGTTTCTGTGGTCGTTGTCATTGTAGTTCTAATTGTTGTTGTGGTTGTTTTTTGAAATTACCAGAAGTCTGGCAGGAGGCTCGCCCGGTTGGCGGCGGTTGCTGCCGGGGAGCGGAGGTCGCCGGGGGTCTGAGCTACCAATTCCCCGTAGGTGCGCTTGCGACTGCTCTTGGAGCTGTTGACAACACGGGCCTCCAGGTACTTGAACACCCGGTCGTAACCTTGTCCTGCAAAAGCACGTTAGCGCAGCGTTAGAACGTGCAGCCATGTTTTCTGCATAGATCGAAATATTGCTGGACAAATAAAATGCGGATAATAGACAAAACTGTATGCAAGATATTTACAGAGCTATTCTTAATTATTATCCTCATGTTTTCTATTCAAATATATAGACCACATGTACGCACAAGTACGCCTCGACAATTGGCAATCCAATCGGAAAGGATGTGTACGCAAGCCTTAACCGCTACACAGAGCTAGGCTTTTGCGAATGATCATGTCAAATATTGTACATGAATTTGAAATAAATACATGTCAGGCTCATTTGTAGGTAAGTCATAAATTTCGAATCGACATGCCACAAGCAATTACGTGCTCGGAACAATATAATTGTAACGGGGTACGCTCGCTGATGTAGCTAAAGTTGCGTGAGGTAAAACTAACCAAAGACAGTCGCCTCGCCGGGTTCATCGCGCAGAGACTGAGGATAGCGGGCCACCATTTCCCGGGCTACCTCGGCGATCTGGCGCCGCGCCGGCCGCGCGCCGAATTGTTGCTCCATCGCCGCGCATACGATCCGGATCATTTCCAGACGGTCCCTGGAAATAACCAATAAACGATGAAATTCATCAAAGCGTATATGCGTACGCAAACTTGTGGATGTTGATTAGTTAGGTGAGGTAGGAAATATTAGACGAATAATTTATACTTGGTTTGTTTTTAAGGTAGTATATGGCACAGTTGCAATGCACGATCAGTGGATGAACTCAACGCCTGCTGTGCACCGGAACGTTAATATACGTAGTCTGTTGATAAGTGCGCATTGCCATAGTAAGTTTGAGCAAAACGATGTAAACAGCAATGTTGAATTACTAGACTGTTGATTTGAATGAAATTGTGATGGTGTCAAACAATATCGAAGGAGAATTCACCTCTTGTCCAACTTGCGGCCCTCCTCAAGCGTCTGAATGACGTAGTCGGGCAGGCGGTCCCAGGGGATCTGGAACACACAGGCTACCCCCATTCCAGGCGACATTCCAGGTGGAACGCCTACACCAGGACCGCCCATTCCGCCTAATACTCCGTTGCCCCCGTTCATCATCAGGCTTTGCGGGGACGGTGCTGTAAATATCGCAAAGATAATCATGGTCAGTATCATCCGCATAAGTCACAACAGTGTGTTAAATACTGTGTTGGTCTTTTCATATTGACGCTCTGCCTATAGGGCCAATGATGGCTGTAATACCGGAAATGAAGCGAAGTGAAAACTATAATGTGACACACATAATCTAAACACAACCAGGGGCAAAATTGCAGTCATAAATCGACATAACAAGAGCAATCAATGAGACCCGCTTAAATGCTCTACCAATATGGAAGCCATATAGGGAACGCTCAGTTCTACAGCTATGCAGGAGAGTAATCTTCAAACTTCCAGAGAAGTATGGCCTGTAGATGTTAATGCTGACATTATCAACATCGGCCCATAACGAACTACGCTTTAGGATAGAAGCTTAAACGAACATAGATTGGTTATTAAATACAGACGTACTGGTAAAGATTGATCATGTCTGGTCAGATATGGAAGTCAGATTTAAAATTTTTCGAGCTTATTATTATTATTATATTACGGGTGATTAAGCGTTGCTTACTTAGACAAATTAGATAAGCGATTTATAGTCGTGTAGAGGAAAAACAAAGAGAAGGGTCTACGAATACAACAAGGGCAAAGGGAACGTACATTATAAGTGGATTGAAAACCAACTATTTTAATTACAAGTCTGCTTATCGGTTCACAGAATTGGTGATTACGATTGATGTTTATATCTCTTGATCTGCTATTTTACCTCTGTGCCACGCTCCCTGCAGGGGTGTCTTAAGCGAGATGTCTGGCAGAATGGCAGCCACGGCCTTGCATGCGTCCTCAACGTCGTTAGCCTCGTGGTCGTCGTCGTCGCCTCCGTCCCCTTGCTGATCGGATTGACCACCTCGGTTACCTTGTCCCGTACCGTTTCCGCCACCACCTCCTCCTCCACCTCCCTGGCTGTTTGGTGTTTTTAGTAATAGATCCGCGTCACCTTCAACCATCTGCGTGACGGGCGACTGAGGCCCAGCGCCGTTCATATTGGAATTGTTCTGATTTGAGCCCGATAGAGCTGAGTCACTTTCATCCGAGTCTCCTGCAATTTGTGGCGCAAACGCAAGACAATGAAAATGGATCGAAGGGGCAGGACCTATTTAGTGTCGTTTGGCTATTTTGCCAGTGTCTAACTACTGAATATTAGATCGTCTAGTACACATAAACTGAAACAGTTCTATTGCCCGTTGTGATTACACGTACCAGCATTAGTGGTGTTGTCGTTGTTGCTTTGATTGCTGTTATTAAGTCCACTTAGATCTGGCGGTGGTTGTTGCTGCAGCAGTTGTTGGTAGGCGGCCATCGCTGTTACGTGGTTCCGACTGGCCATTTCTCGTTCGCGGTCCACTTGATTGGCTTGACTGCCCCCTTGGTGTCCTGCTTGGCCATTGTTTCCGGCCGTTTGACTATTCGCTTGTTGACTGTTGCTGCTATGATGACTGCCGTGGTTGTGATTACTCAAATGGGCCCCGAGATGATTGTTGTGTGCGCCATGATTGAGCGCGAGCTGATTGAGGGGTGGCAGTGGAGCGGGGTAGCCTCGCGATCTTCGCTCGCGCATATAACTGCTAGTCGCTGTTGCGGGATGCGCGTCAACAGGCACAGTTTGGTAACAAAATAAAAAAAGGACAATGTTATCACATGACCTAGGTCTTTTAGCCCAAAATCCATATGAAGCATACATTTGCAGATATGCAGTTGATGGCCGATTTTAAAATAACGTTAACTATACTTTGAAAGCCATTTATCTTGCGCTACTACAAAGCTAGTTATATTAGTAGTCATTAGACAATATTGCTCTACAGCTGTTTCTCACTATGGCCAATGACGGATGCTGAACGGTACTATTAGGCCTTTCTACTGCGGGTTAATTATTCCTTTCAGAGTGCCTAGTATTTTCTGTAGAGTTACTAGTGCAATGATATAATTAAGAATAATAAATTATCTTTCTTGTTCAGGGCTTATTGCTAAAGGTCACGTACGTCGTTCAAAATGCCACCCACTCTCCGAGAGAACGAAAACCTTCTCGAAGGACGAGTCTTGTAGTACGTCCGCTATGACATCATCCTCAATTTCCGTTCCATCCTCTAGGTATACCCGAACATGGCTTGGGTCCCTATAGACGGCAATTAGAAAACATTGTAGTATTAAGTGGAAGTACTAATTTGCGTTTAAAAATATCTAAAATTACTCTTATTTCAGGCTAGCTACACAAACCCTGACACTGGCCGTTGAGCATTAGTCGGTAGTAGCAAAAAAACAGAAAGAAGTCGTTATTGTACGTACCTGGCGAGCCCCTTGGCAATGGCTTGTCGTTTGAGGTCTTCTCCATCACTGATGTTGAGCAGCTTCTTGCGACTCTTGTCTGTACTCCATACCCTAACCAACACCATCGTTGCGTGTTCCTGTAATCACAAAAATACAACAGGACGACAGATTAATTTTCATTTGCCGCGTCCTGTAACTAACGAAACACATACACGCGTTGATCTAGGTTCGAAGTCAGGCCTAGGCATACTCAGTCTAAGGCAACGTCTGACGGCAACATCGGACGTCAAGCTCAAAATATTCAACTATTTTCTGGTTTTATTTTATGGAATGTATTCGCAAAAATGTAGTCCATACAAATGTAACACTTTGCGATCAGCATTTGGGTCGTCAGCCAGCCGCCTAGTGAGAACTAGTAACCGGTTGCTCTGACATACAAATTTGTCAGTCGTTGTACCCACCCTCATAGATCAGTATTATCAGTTTATTAATTTACCAACCAAAAACAAGGAGTCAAGAAAAAAATTGATATGACCCATCAAACACGTTTTGTTCCCGCACGGCACCGTGCATATATATATATATATTTTCACGAAAGAAATTTGATGTACTTAAAGATTATGACCTTTTTTTGAATACGCATTTACGATGTGGTCTTTGATATGAATTTGTTACATATAGTGAAAGATATAGTAAACCTGTGTACAAATTGATCCCTGAGCAAAAAACACGTATATGTGGAGAACAAAATTGTCAATCTTTCTTCAGTACATTTCATATATAGCACACAGGCAATAGAATAATGCCTATGTACATTATCGACATCTAGCTAACCGTTCTCGTTTACCGCAGTTAGCGGAATACAACTTCACACCGTTTACTGAGAACTTTGAACATTTCGGTAGATGGAATTCGCCATTCCATTGCTTTCAACATTATAATTTCAATGAAATAAATTGGCGGAAGGATAAGCCGATCTAAAATTGCATTTTAACTTATCAATTAAAGTTTAGTTCTGGTGGGAACTTAACTCGAACTAAGAGAAATTAGCGACTTAATTTACTTCATGAAGAGCTGAGTATTTCATCTGCCAGAGAAAACGAACGCGATAACGGTGACAGCTGATTTTGACAGCTTCGCACAAAGTAGAGCTCAGGCTTATCAAAACACGCTGCCTAATAAACAATCGTAGTTTTTAAAATTTGCAACCTTTTTCACGTTGTTATACTAGACTAATCGCAGGCAAAAAATAACGCTCTTATAGAATTACATGTTCTATTTATCGTGAAGAGGTAACCATATGTATCGCCTACCCAACAACTCGTTAGCTGGATGTGGGCACAGATCGGCCGCATTCCCCAAGTCCATAACGAAAATTAGATTTACCAATAGATGCCACCCTGGGGCCGGGAAGCGCTGGCAGCGAATGTACGACCGTAGACCATCGAAATACAGTATAAACAATAACCGCGCATAAGACGAAATTGTGTAGCAAGGCTTAAACTGCGTGCGATTATTAAGTTCCGCAACGTTAGATGAATCACTGCCTTTATTCACACAGGATGTCGTTGGCAGGATTTGAGGCAACGTCTCCTAGTCCCTGTCAATCAATATTAGATAGTACTATTCGACGCGGGTTTCGGCGTGTCATCTCATCGAAGACAGGACGCACAGATACCCAGTGGTAATTTCGGCGATGGGTGACCGATGTATTGCGGACACAATGTGAGTATAGTAAGTTTCGAAAAAAAACGCTTGTCTCATCTTAGAATACCATTATATTTGTGGACAAAAAAATCAATTTAAAAACGTAAACGAAAAGCGAGATATTGTTTAGGTATCAGCGCTAGAGACAGACTGTTAGAAAATCAATAGATAGCCATCGGTGATGAGTGGTCAGTCACCGTATACCAATTGCCTGATCTGTGGGTTGAACTTCGTTATGCGAAGTATTGGCTTTCAACGGAGCGCTGCGAGAAACATCGTTCCGTCGATAGGGCCGGTGAACCATAACACAGCACAGAGGAGTAAATAAATCAATTATCTCAACAATCGACAGCTCCTAAAAGCTAGCAATAAAATGTGCTCACCGGAATTTATTAAAGGAGAAACTCCCTCGGTCAGGTAAAAAGTCTGATCACAATCAAACACAATGCAAAAGCTTCGCTAAGCTTTTTTCGTGGCTTATAGAGCCACATACACAAATGATTTCGGCGCCAGTTTGATAGCTTGATGTATCGTTTACGTATCGTATTAGAAAATTTAATTTTAATATTGTTTAATGTAGCATAGAAGTTCACTAGCATTGGTAAACGTTAAGTGTAAGCGATAGCCTGGCTTTCCGCACAAAAACAAATCTTCCACAAGCCTTCTAATTATAAACCCAGCCAGATGTTATTCGAGTATCTTTGATTAAATATGACATGTTCATTTAACAGGGAAGTCCACGTGAATAGGCACTAGTACGTCCAATGCGGTAACTTGCGCACATATAGAGTTGCTGCATATCAAGCGCGGCTTTCTACCTAGGATACGTCAGGCATGCAAAAGTGCAAGTTTTCACAGAGGTCGCCTCAGATGCGACCGTCTCTACGGCCATTGTCGAAAGTTAGCAGGACTTTAAGATGAAGCCTGTCACACTCGTTATTTTGAAAAGTGGAATTGAAATCTTCGTGACTTGGCAATGATTTAAGCGGAACAGGGACATAAAAAAACAACTTGTTACTTTAAATTACCGAGGGGCTGGTGTTGAATAGATTCGCATTGGATTAGGGTTCTAGGGGCATCATGACCGCATACATTGTACCTCAAACAACGCCACATTGATATGAATTATACCACGAAGTTTCACCGGTCGGACACACTTCAGTGAACTGAAATGATCAAAATTAGTAGGGTTTTTTTCCACTACCCAGTAAATTTGTTCTAATTAGGAATTTCATGTCGCTGAAGAGAGACGTTTTCCCATTTTGAACACCACCTATATGTGAGAGAGCCTATTCCAGAAAATACTTCACAGCGCAGGTACACTGAGTTTCATCTGCACAGAGAAGGTGTTCTTTGAAGTATTCTTATATCTATTTATCGTTGGATACTTCTAGCACTCGTCGAATAGTAACCATAAAAGCTAATTAATGAGTTTTCGTATCATATATTTTTACTGCGACTGAGTCAATTTCTTTTGGAAATGATATTTGCCGAGCGGCCAGTGGTAGAGAACGCCACGTATACCTCTACCAGAGAGATTTCCAAAAGTCCAATATAGATGCGATCTCTGCTCAAAAGTACTGTCTTTATTATTATTCTAGATACCATTGTCGGCAGTAAAATACGTTCGAAAAGTTGTGGTCGAAATATTAATATACGAAAAGATTCACCGGGCAGTGTAATTACGTTATAAAAGCGTACAGCTGAACTTTATGCTAGGATATAAAATCTTCGGCGTAGTCCTATATCTATGTCCGCTGCAAGAAGCACATCTAAAAGGTAACTGATCTTGTAACTTATTTTACTCCCCTAAATCTATAACCAATCTTCGAATAACGTTGTTCACTGCTTGATGTCGTCGTTATTTGCTACTCAGCATTGGTGCCGACAGGCGCAAGATGCGTCAATTTTTTATCCTATAAAGAGACATTCTATAAAATACAGGCAGCTCTATAGATCAATTGCTCGATTGAAAACAAAACCATCTTTGATCAATTCCGTCCATGTACGTAGAGGTGGTCCTTAAGGCACCGTCCAATATTTCGGTGAAAGCTGGAGTAGGCCGCAATAAGGTACCTGATTGAATAAAGCCTTACAACACAAACGTTATGTACAACACACATGTTAAGTAACTCTGTTCAATTCGAGAACACGTTGCAATTGGAGACAATAGCAAACTGCGGGGGGTAACGAGCGACCCTTCAGTGACGGTATTTTTAGAATTCTAAGAGAGAATCTTGCTTCGGTTAATTCCAATGCACGAATATGGCAATTCGGCACCACAATCGTCTGCAATGTGATTGTATAAAAGCTAGTAATTATTATTACTTAATAGATAATCATGTTTGGTCAACGGATTTGAATTACAAAAAGTGGCTTTAAAAATACGCGACGTGTACACTTTTAACAGGTGGCCGATAGATTGTCCTGGCGTCCTCCAATACATTCCGTCTTGCATCGAGAAGCAACGGCGCTAAAGGAAGCAAGCAAATGGGTGCTAAGCAAAAGAGACTGCGCTTTTGAGTTTAACGGGTGTTGCTAATTGCGGCAGTAAAACGCAACTAATATGCCCCTCTGCCCATTGCCACGTTCACTTCCTGTTAGCTTATTTTTACCCAGCCAGATTTGAGTGGTAGCGGCCGAGTACACTAATCATTAGACCAAGTCTATGTTGGTTTTAAAGGTAGCCAAATTTAGCTTGAACGTGTGTTGTTCTCAACGATACTTTGATTGTCCCCATTCGATCGACTTCCCTTATTGTTCGAACCTGTAAGTGCAGACGCTTTATGGATGATTTTGGCAGTGATTCCTTAGGCGTACCTTATGCTTGATTGAAAAGCAACAAAAATGAATGAATGAATGAACATTGGAAAATAAAGATGCGTGAGGTTGGAAAGTAGATTTAATAAATGCTTTATCTTCTTATTGTATTCTGAACGCGTAGATGTTTGTAGTGTATATATGGCGCTGCTAAGAGTGAAGTGTTTCTAATAGAAACAAGAATCTACCCAGAGAAGAATTAAGAATTTTTGCTGAAGAATGCTAGCCGTGAAGGATCTTAAAGGACCACAGCTTTTGTCCAAACTATTGTTGAATAAATAACAATAGCAGGGCTAAGCCTCTTTTTTTAGGAAGAACAGATGGATTATCGGAGGCTCTTTCATCTATTTGCACGATGGATGCAGGTTTGGGTTAATTTCTCAGTTAAAAAAAACTAAACTTTTATGTCACTGTATGTCGTTGCTGTTGTCATGATTTGAGTTTCGATTAATCAGGCCTCGAGTAGGCCTAACCGACTTGATACGTATTGTCTGGTATTTTCCAAATTGATATTTCTCGATAAACCTGCCAGTTGAATACACAGAGAATCGTTCATAAATAGAAAGCTGTGCGGGATTACGTTCGAGCCAAGCTACCAATGTTTTATTCG